TTGTTCAGTTAATATAACACCATAGATAATGTCAGTCCATTGTTGGCATATGGTCAGAAAACAGAGGTGCCAACCAGTGAAGACTGGTCTCTAGAATGAGCTGTTTTCAGTGTTTACCTTGCAAAGCTAGATAATGATTATTTTTTTGTGGTTTAGTCTTACAAAATTCTGAACGTCCAAGTGAAGCAAATGCTTCCTAATTTCACAGACTCTTAGATTCAGAAAGAACTTAGTCTGCAGAGGGCCGAGCCCTTCAAATTGACCAGCCTAACTCCTGAAAGATGGGGAAGCTGTTGATATATTTAAAGTGAACTTGCAATGAGTTTCACAAAGCAATCTGGGTACTAGGTAAGACAGATACCTATTTTACTAATGTAGCTGAGCACACTAGATATCTACTTCTAATTGAAATCTGTTGAACTTTGGTAGCCTACTTAACCTGACACCTTCAAGTTCTCACTAGGTACCAATATCCACCTTTTAGGAACCTGGTATCCTTTAAGATCTGCACTTCATTGAAGAATGCTTGGTGTTCAGATCTGTAACCATCTTTGCTAAAACACTATTTTAGAAATTATCTTAAAAGTAAGGATTCTTACTTGATATTGGACTTCAGTCTGAAAACACTGTAACCTCTATGTGACAAGTTTATGCATCTTCATTCAAATTCCTCTGCTTTTCTGGTTAGCACTGAAGGAAAATAGTTTATTCTCATGAGGAAGTAATTTCCTCTGAATTGAGTTCTTTTTTTTTTCTCCTCTGTGTTAAGAGTCAATCTTTTCAAGTGCCAGGCCTCTAAATGAAAGAGTTTTCTTAATGAAACAACCAATCTTGGTAAGCTAGGATCTGCCTTCCAAACAGAATTGAAGAAAATCTCCCTTTTTAGGTCTGGAATGTAAGCGGTTATAGAATTTCAGTGTCTGGAATGCTTGAGATTTACAAGCTAGCTTTCCTCAGCCAGGTATTGTGAAGTTATTTACAGAGCTCAAGTTTTAACACTTAGTAGTTTTAATACTATATGCTTTTTTTTTCCCAAATTTTTATAGTTAAATTATGCAGTTGTATTTTATGTAAGAATATGAATTTAAATGTATGGTGTTAAAAAGCATTTTAAAGAAATTTTGCAGTGTAAATATCGTTAAAATTAATGTAAATGTCATGTTAAAAACTTCATGCAACTCCTTGAATATTTTTCCATCTGAGTTTCTGCTTTAAAGACAGTCCTAGTCTTCAAAATTATTCTTCTAACAGCACAGAGAAGTTAGCGCTTTTTTTCTGCTAATAAATTCCCCGTCTCCCCTGCTTTAAGTCAACATGTGATTTAAATAACTGTTACCTTTTAAAATTCATCCAGTGATGTAAACAGTTGATTTTTTGTGTGTGTGTTATTAAATATTAGTTTAAAAAAAGTATAATATTAGTTCTAAGTATGGATCTCAACTCTGATGATGACTGTTTCCCTAATTTGGGGAAGATCATCTAACCTCTCACTTTCATTTTCTACATATGTTAGATGTTATGAAACTATTATGTTTTTTAATAAGTTAGTATTGAGGAGTGAGGTTGCATAGGCTTATGAAGTATTTAAACTACGTGGATACTGGTTGTTGAGTGAAGTGAAATACTGTTGTTCTCTTATTACTTTATGGATTTAACATTAACTTACATTTCACGTCAGCTCGTTCAAAAGCAATATAGATCTTTTCTTGAAAAGTAAAGTAATTTAAAACACAAACAACTGTATTTTAATAATTACTCGATTGATTAATCATTTAGTAACCTGATTATTACAGGTGCTACACACAGTGGTGTTTTAAAGCACTTGCAACATAACTAAAAGTGAGACCGTATTGTACCATATCATGTCTTTTAAAGGTTGTGGAAGTTGTCCAATTGTCATTTTTTATTGTGTTATGGAATGTATTTACACCAGTTTGCATCCTTTTAGTGGCATATAAGTTATAGATAAACTATGAGTCAGATGTGTAATTATCCCCCTAACATGGAAAATGTGTTTTGTGTAGTTGTTCAAAAAGGTTGAACTGCACTCTAAGTGGCTGTTTTAAGAGAAATAACTTTCATATGGAAACATAGACTCATTTGAATTGGAAGGGTGCTGCAGGTTTCTTGTCTAATCTCCTGCTCGAAGTAGGGCCCACACTGATTTTAGACTAATTTGCTTAGGGCTTTTTCCAGTCTGGTCTTGAAAGCCCCGAGAATGGAGATTCTGCAGCCTTCTATGAGATTTCTTGGGTGAGATTAGCTCATTTCTGTGTCACAGAGTATTTATCAGCACTAATACAAAGGATAAGTAAGTAAGAAGAACCCTGTTAATTAAATTTAAAGAGCCTGCGTAATGGCGCAGTTTCTGGGAAATGTGAATGGTTATTGAAGGTGGCTAAACAGAGTGGCTATTTAAACCACAGGAGCTTATGTTTCAGTTCTAAACCACAGTCTATTTGCACTTTGTAGAATCTGTGGTAAACGAAGCAAAAAAGCTAGATGAAAGCCAAGGCATCTGAAGGAAAACCAAAGAAATTACAATTGATAGTGGCTTTTATAGCCCAATTTGTTTGGATTTTCTTGAACCTTTAGTAGTACAAAGGTTAGTAATGAGCCCTATCCTGACAGGTATATCTGTTTATTTTCATACAAACCTGTTTTCCTCCCACATGGTATATTGCATGTTTGATGTTAAGATTGGATTGTGATGTAATTGATGCAAAAGGCTGTTGTGAGGATTTCTGACATCTATTTGAAGAATACCTGTTAAAATCTAATAGGTTCTTCTTTTTTTTATCCTTATCTTTTATTAGTTTGCTACTGTAGATCATCACTATAAATTTTCTGATTATTATTCTCTGGGTTTAGCTCTCAATATTTTTTTGGAGACAGCTGAAAAGAAATACATTTTACTTCAGAAGAGATTTTCTAAGTTAAAGATAATTTGAAAATCACTCAACTGGGTTCATCTGATCTTGCTTTTCTGTTTGCCTTTTCCATTATGTACTGGAATAGAGTAACCCAGGATACATTATAACCTTTAAGTCTGTTTTACTATTAAAACGCCAGAAGAAATGAAAGAGAATGCATAAAAGAAAGGCAAAATACTGCATTTTCCTCAAATACAGCCCCTCCTCTGCTAAGCCAACATAAGGAAGGTATTGCAACACGTAAGCCCGTGTGACTCTGCTACTGAAGGATTGTATCATTTGCACTCAGGTGTCTTTTTGTGAACCATTCCCTCATAGCATGCATTTCAGATATGACAGCTGTAAAACATAAAGCAGCCTTGGCATACCTGGTAATGATGGTAATATAGTGATCCATTAGACAAAGCATATAGCAGTAAGGGCTAATTACCATTGGGGTTTGGGACTTGTTTGACTGTATTCCTATGTTCTTGAATTACATAATGAAAAGATCTTTAGAAGAGCTTGTCTGTATCTGGATTTAATTTTAAGCTTTTTTGGCATATATATTCATATATTAATATGGATGTTCGCATTTTAATTCAAGCCAGTAAAGCTTTTAAGCACAAACAATCTTAATGAGATTTTGTTCTTTTAATTTTTATTTCAAAGCTTTAACTAAGCTAGTTTAGATCTAGAAACTCTTGATAGTATGTTAATGTTGATAATGAGCGTGGACTTTGTTTCAGTGTTTATATAGTCACCGAAAGTAGTGCAGACAGTTATGAGCAAAAAAGTTTCTTTGATAGTAAGGTCTATTGTGTTCAGTGAACAAGTAATAGATAAATCAGCTAAAGCACAGTGAGGGTTTACTGATACAGCTGTATTGACAATTTTTTCTGCATGGACCACTTTATATCTACAGTTTGATGTTTGATATTACCAAGTCAAAAATCATAAATGATTTCCAAATGATAGTATTTGATAAAGAAGTATTTTTTAAAAAATGAAATGTTCAAGAGGATCGTTGCCGTTTTCTGTGAGCGCTGTTACAAAGAAAGTGTCTCATGTAGGAAAAAAATGGATGACCCTAGACACTTGTAATGAAAAGTAGAGGATTTAAGACTTTTAGTAATTAACTTGACTCCATCCCAGTCATCTAGCAGCTGTTTCAGGTAATTTTTGGTGATCTTTATCTAAGAGCAATTATCACAATACCGAGAAAACTTGTAGGCAAACTGAATAGAGTGAAATGATATAAGTCATGTAGGGCTTAGCTGAACATTTTAGTAGCTAGAAAATTGAGATGTCTTTTCTTCATCAGGTCTCATTGATTTTGGCTGAAGTTTTGAACTGGTCATGTAGGCTCTCACGTATTTCTGTATCTGTGAGTATAGGTTCTACCATCTGAGGATTAATTCCAGTACCTGCTGGGACCGTAATCTTCTTTTACCTGGTGTAACTCTGAGCATGCTATTAAATTCAGTTAACAAGAGTATGTGGCAAAGATTTTTTACATTTTTGCATTGTTTCTTTTGAGATGTCCATTGTGCGATTTGCTGCAGGCTGTCATTTTTGTCTGCCATCCAATGTATGTTGGCAAGAGGGTTGTGTACTAGCCTTTGTGTCTGGTCACAGAAAAAAATTCATGCATCTCAGCCAGACCATTTTGTTATTCCTTTAGAATTAAAAGCATATGAAACAGATGCAGCTTAATAAGTATTTTTTTTTATAAATAACATTTAAATAACTTAGAACAATAAAGTTCAAATACAACTTAAAATAAAGTTTAATGCTGTAACAACAGAAAAAGCATGTATAAGGATGGAAAAACAATATTGAAAGCTGTATGCCCGAACAGGAATTATACAAAAGATAGGATATGTTACATAAAAAACCTTAATATGTCTGAATTTTTGCTTCATCGTTATATAAAATGTTAATTTGTGAAAAGTGAGATGAAGTACATTATTTATTCCTATTCTTATTTTACATACACTATTTGAAACATCTTTTAGAGCAGCATTAGGTATTTGTTTCATTAATAGATAGGAACATTTTGTAGTAGAGTAAACTTATTTTTTCCAAACTAACTCTTTTATCTGAATACAACAATAAACATTTACAAGATTATATATTTTTTTCTGATCATATAGTTTATGTATAGGATATCCGTTTCTTGGGGGAAGTATTTAAAATACTGCTCAGCCTCCACATTTACTATTGACTTGATAATCTGACAACTCATTCCAGCAGCCTTAAAGTCTGACATATTTTACACAACATTATCATCTGCTTATTATTATTATAGCAGCCATATTTAAGAAGCAGATAGGTTTTTTAAATAAAATATTATCAGATAATCAAGTCATGACTTATTCTTCAGGGTAAATTAATTTAAGAAACTACCCAGTTACAATGACTAAGATAATGATTGTACAACTCTTTAGAATTTTTTACAACTTTTAGTTAGTAAATCTGGTTTTGTGTATATTTTCAAATCTTTTTCATGTAGTCTCTTAAAAATAAACATAAATGCGCAAGTCCAGCTTGTTCAGTTTCTCAGTAGTATTCCAGCCTCTCTTGATATCTTGTCAAATAGTCGTCTTAAAAATAGTCTTCCTGCTGGAACTAGTTCTTTATAGATCATTTGTGATTAGGATATTGCCAGAGGAAGAAAGTGGGATGCTCTGTGTTCTTTCTTTGTTTTTTTACCTTTCATGGGGACCCCTTTGTGGTTTAATGTAACAAACATCTCCTTTCCTTTGTGTGTCCATTTTGCAGAAGCATATGTATTATAATGGTTTTCTTCAATCAGTTCTATGAAGTTGCAGTCCTCATTGCATACTTTCTGTGAGAGTAAATAATAAAATAGAATAAAATAAGTACAAGTGTTTTTTTAAAATACTTAGATTAGGGAAGATGGGAGAAGAATATGCATTATAAAGCCCACATATTATTAATATTTTTAATACATAAATTGGACTGCTGAAATCTGAGTAGTCAATATTGTAGCTTTGTCTATTCCCCCTTAGTATTCCACATTTTAAAAAAGTATGTAAGCTCTAATCACTCTAATTTATTAAGTGGACATAAAAGTCTAGTATAGGATGTATGGGATAAGGACAGGATACATTTTAATTTTTTAGGAATCTGTTTTATACAAAATATACAAATGCTACATCTAAAAATACGTATCTTTAAGATTGTACGTGATGATTGTGCACACAAGAGAAGTTTGCATCCATACCTTTCCATAGAGTCTTCCTGACTTGTTCATTGCCAGAAAGTATTCACTTTCCACTCCTTTGATTGCCACTATTCCAACTGCCACTGTTCGGATTTCTAGAATACCTGCAAAGGCACACAGTGAGGGCTGTAAAATGATTGTTTGTTCTCCAGTCAACTTAGAAGGTTTAGTTAAACTAATATTCTGCAATACTTCTGTGTTTATTGAAAATCTGCAGCAATCATTCTTAAAAAAAACCCAGAAAAAATATGCATTTATTCATGTGAGGAAAGGACTTGAAAAATTGTCTGTATGTGATCATGTCTGCATACAGCCACTCAAAAAATTATATGGTGATAATCTTTAAGTATATATTGAAGTTGTGGTGTTAGTATACGTAATTTTTCTATTTTCAAAGAATCAGCATATCTTAGAATTTATGAGGCTTAGGGTTTCATTTCGAAGAATTATATACATAGCTATCAAAGTTCACAGAATTTGTGTAAAGCCTTTATTTTGAAGACTTGTGTCATGTAAACCTTAGAACTTGCGAGTGATAGAAAACAGACCACGGTGTCTTAAATAAGATAAAGTATTTGCTTGACCTTTGTATGCTTTTATGACTGATTGGAGCTGTAAAGATACGTGTATTTGAAAATCATTAAAAGCTGCTCTGAGAACTTATTTACTCCAAACTAGAAACCATTAAGAGTTGTTTTCTATAAATTATTTTCATCTCGCTGATGTATATCTGCAATAGCTTTCTGTAGTCACTATGATACATTTAAGTTACCTGCATGCAACATAAAAAATAGTCTTATGTCAATAAAAAAAAAAAACAACTGAGCAAAGACAGGAGGATGGTGCAAGTTATTGAGGAACAACAGGTTGTTTTCAGGCTTAAATATTTTTACTGTTGTTTTAAGCAATAGCAGAGTTTGAGCTGTTTTCTTCCACATTGAATCACCTACAGAACTGCATGCAGTAGCATCTGTACTGTCACTCGTTCTCCAAAATGGGGTCTTTCAAAGCCAGCCAACTCTAGGCAAATTCCAATAGCTAAGCATGGGGGACAGAAGTGAGGGAGAAGAAGAGAGTGGCTTGTGTTACATTGTCACCTGAAATACAACCTTCCTCTTGAGCAAAACGTTTTTTTTCTCTTTCAAGTTGTATTGACTCTTCACAACCACCACACATGATAATAATTTTTCATTAATTAGATTTTTTAGAAAGGCATGTTATTTCTCCTTCCCTATACTTTCTTTATATCCTGATGTCCTTTGCTTTCTTTACTGTACTGTTTTGCTTTCTTCCTTCATATTACTGGTGTATCAGTCCTAGCCTGTCTTGCTTACTTTTTTCTTCTTATTTTCCCCACCAGTAGATCAGTTACCTCTTCACATGGTGCGTGCCCTGCTGGGTGTTCATCTCTGAACAATTACACTTCTGTACTTCTCTATAATGCTAAGCCAACTTTAAGCTTTCAGAATTCTTTGACAAGTTCCACTCTGCTGCAGGCCTAGCAGCAATTCTTGCAGAGGGTAATTTCTAACTGAAACTTACAAAAATTATATTAACTTTCATTTAAATTTCACTTTAGAAAAACCACAGTGGGGCTGAAAAACAGATGAACATCTGCATCTAGCCAAACAAAGAACATAACAGTGGAAGGGATCTCTGGGTCATCAAGTCCAGTGCTCTGCTAGCCTGGGAATTGCATCAGATAATTCTCTTTTCATAAACTTTGCCAATACTAAATTGGAGTTGTTATTTCTTTGCCCCCAGTGTTTCCGCCAAAGGCTGTTCCAGAGTTTGATTTATTTTAATGGCTAGAGACTCTGTAGTAATTTGCAATCTGCATTTTTTCAGCGACAGCTTATATCCATTTGTTCTTTTGCCTGTGCTGGCCATTAACTTAAGGAGAGTTTTGGGTTTTTTTAAATCTTTTTTAAATCTTGAGTTTTCTATTTATACCAAATTAAAAAAATGAAAGATTCAAAGTGACTTTTTAAAACAGGTAGTGCTAATAGGAATTGAGATTTCCTTGAGTAAACTGATGTTGGCTGAAGTTTCACTAGTAAGAAATACTACTACTTTTAAAAAGGAAATGCCAAAAGCTTTTGTCCAAGACAATATTATTATTAAAATTTTTACATTATTTTTTTAGCTTGTTTTTTTTTTTCCTGAAGTAGATGATGACAACTTGTAGGAATTATTTTTATTTTGGGTGCTTGTTTCTCTGCTTTATTTTCAGTTGAGACATAAATGTCTTTCATGTGGAAATGATACTCTATCCATATATAATTTGATATAGGATAGAAACTGAGGATGTAAAAATATTTTATAAGCCTCCTGTACTGCAAATATGAATGGCAAATAGGATGTTATCTATCAAAGTTATATTCTACTTACAATTTACAAAGGCACTATGTGAGATAGATTTATTGTATTCAGTTCTTTACATGGTTTTTCATCTTATTTGTTAAAATTCCATTGTGCCTAAAAAGCAATGCATTTTAATTAAAAGACAGATAATTTGAGATTCATAAATTGTTATGCATATCCAGTACTATTTGCTATATTATTATGTGCTTTTCACAATTCTAAGCAATTATTTACCTCCAGAATAAGGGGTAGCTCTCACATAAATAACATTTGACACCCTGACTCAGAGGTGATATAAAATCCAAAGATTTTTTTAGGTCTTTGAATGGCACTTTTCTAAAGATCCTCTCTCTGTGCATCTCTCCATAAAGTTTAGCGAGGGAATACCACGTGAACTCTCCAAATAACTATGTCACACTAAAAATGTTGTAATATTAGTGATGTTAAAGAGAAAGAAAAAAGACCATGGGGCGTTCAGTGGAAATAGCGCTTGTGTATTCTTGATTCTTTGCTCAGAACATGTCTATCTCAGAATTAAATGGCCTATCATAAACTGCACGTGGTCGTTTTTCTATTCCCAGTTCTAGATCATGTCTCATCTGTTCTGATGCGTCTTAACGTATCCCCACAGGAGAAGGAAAGCATGAATTTTTCCCTTTTCAGCAAAGCATTTTGTGGTTTAGGTCCCTGAGGCAGCATCTCACATGCACTTTTATAGTTGATGTGCAAGTCAATCATCACTGAGTTCCTCTCTCTATTTTCAGGCATATGACAGAAGTTCCTTAAGCAGTAAGACAGCATAGTGTAAGCTCCCTTTTCTTCTGGAGGCTGTGCATCAGTAATTCTGTTCATTTCAGAAATGTAGTATTGCTGCATATTTTTTTCTTTAAATTAAATAAATTATACAGGAAATGGAAACACGATTTTTAGCAAACTGGGAAAAGTAAGACCGCTGTGTAGTTAGAACTGTGATAGCTGATTTTAGCTGAGAATTTATGATCTTTCTGTATATAGTCTTTTGAATGGAACTCACTCATTTTGTTAATTGCAAAATGTCATGTACATATATGAATTTAAAATTTCTTCTTTTATGTACAGAAACTATGGAAAGAGAGTATTAAGGTTGAGAAGTCATACACTGAAAGTCTATTAGTTTATCAGTGTCAACATTGCAGTTGTATCACATGCTTAAATTTAGTACCCAATATCAGAATTCTCTCACAGACCAGGAAGAATGATTTTTGAGTACTATTGAATTTAATACAGCCAGAGATTTCAGTACTTTAAGTGTTTTACAAGGTGCTTCTGATCGTGCAAGATTTATAAGCTGACCAGCTTTTTCCTGCACGCCTATTATGTACTGCATAATTCTCACAGCACAAGTTCTTTGATGAACTAGTTGATGGAATCTTTAACACTTAGAAACAACACAATCTCACTGCGAAAGCATCTAAACTACTTTTCTATTTTTTAATACTCAGCTTGATATATAGAGACTCAACACAAATGTTGAGGTTAGAGACGTGGATAATAGAAATCACTGTCTCTTGCAATTATAATTTTATAACATATTTAAATATAAAAATGAGCTTTTAAATTATAATTATAGCACCAAAGCAGGAAATTCCTAAAGGATATGCCAGAGAATAAAATAATAAATCCATAAAATAGAGAAAGTAAGTTGTATTTTTCCCCCTTTGTTCCATTTCCTTTCAGTATCTCTATGAAGTCAAGATAGCACATTATAGTCATATTGGTCTGTCTTTATTTCATATGTGTTTCTGGTACTCAATCACTGTAAGAGAAGTTACATAATGGTAAATAGACACTAGGGTGTATTGTTGCAGATAGGAACCTAATCCATTAGCAGGCGTCAAGAGGTAATAAAACTGTTCAACCAGAATTTTGGCCAACTACAGATATTTCCTGTTTCTTCTATACTTTCTGTAATCATCTGCTACTGGCGATTCTTGCCAACAGGATGTTAGGCTAAATTAAATTTGGATCTGAGCTGATACGGTTATCCTCATGCTCTTGGTGTATATGGTTTGTTGTACAGTTGTGACAGTTACATTCAGCCAAGTTTGTGAATGTGATCTTTTTAGTTTGGTTTAAAAAAGAAAAGCAAAACAAAACCAATTCTTTTTCTCTGCTCTTTCGTTTTGAAATTCTGCATCACTACAATATCTTTAATAAGACTAACCAGGAACAACATTTGATGTATATGAAAGTTACCCAATAATCTCCTTTTTCTATAAATGCAGGAACAGCTTTGATTCTGAGTAACTGATGGTATTAAAATCAACAATGAAACTATAATATACTTTAAAGATTAGCTTTGTAAGGATGGTAACCTGAGTTAAGCAACTCACCAAAGCTAAAGAGTGTCTTTTCTAGTATACCATTTTTGACTGCCTTTAAGACACGAACTGAATTAACATGTATTAGTTTCATTGCTCTTCTGCTCTGAACCTGTGTAGCTGAGCTTCAGTGTTCATGCTAATTCTTGTTAGCTGATTAATTGGAAGGAGGTAGATCCATAGAAAATGGTAATAGAAGTAAACCTACTATGTTGTGTTATGTTTGTAGGACGTTTTATACATAAAGGCAAAAAATCTGTCCTCATTTAAGTGAATAGTAGGATTTCGGCTAACTCAGTGGAGCCAGGATTTTATCCCTAAGGTAGCTCCTTCAGTGAGGCAGGAGATGTATAGTAAGCTAAAATCTTTTCTGAAAACTC